TTAAGTGTGTTTGTGTTGTCGCTTTCAATAGCTCATTGACTAATTTAATTAATTTGTTCACAAGTAAGGAATAGCATTTATACAAATCGTGATGATGGCCTCTTTCTGTCTTCCCTTTTTATTGTAAATTGTAAGATTGTCATAAATATTTATGTTACCACAAATCTAATTCAAGTTGTTATGGAAACGTCAGTCTCATACCAGTAAATCTGCAAACTCAAAGCACGAAACAGAAAGAAAAAATGGAATGGGAAAACAGGTCATGCATGCAATTTAGGTCAACCATATTCATTGCAGCCAAACTAATTTCTAAAACTCACACACACCATCTAATCGCCCATAAATCTACTAATTTGTCAAGTGATATAATAATTGTTAGAAAAATTAGTTTAAAATGATATTTAAAGTATTTATTTTTAGGTACTTTTAAGTGGAATTCACTTTGAATTTAGGTCAGGTTAGACTAGTTCAAAGTCTCCTAATTAATTAGGTATAATTTTAAGTAAGGTTCGCTTTCGATATGAGTCATGTCAAAGTAGTTCAGATTTTTTTAGTTGAGATGATGATTTTTGATATATTATATACTCAAAATGATTAATGGGTAAATGAGAAAATGATTCTTTAACATTTATTAATTTTAGTTTTAAAAAAATGAAATTGGGAAAACTTGTAAGTTGTAAGTAGCGTTTATCCAACATTGGAAAATGGGTATGAGTTTGTACTAATATATATACAATTCTTTTTTTTTTTAAACATCTGAATTATATATCATAGAAGTTTTCTTTCACATTATAGGGGTTCAAATTAAATCAAATTCTAAAATGAGTCAAAAAAGGTTTGACTTATGTGCACCTCCAACCTACAAAAATTGGAACCCCCAACTATTGAGAACAAAGTTGTGACGGAACAACAAAGGTTTGTGAAACCTCTGCTTTGGAGCAGCAAGACTTTTACGAAACTTGTGTTGTTCGTAGCAATTGCATTGTACCTCTAGAATGATTTTTCCTATTGGAAAAATCTAGTTTTATTCTCACACTTTCTCAAAAATTCTTGAAAAACATTCTACCAACCTCTCAAAATTCCTAAGTACTCTCTCAAAAATTCTTGAAAAACATTCTACCAACCTCTCAAAATTCCTAAGTGCTCCCTTTGTTAACGTTCATTGTGAACAATATAGTTTAACTATATTGTTAAAATTCATTTTATCTTGTGAAACTAATGCTTAACGTTCCTAGCATCTTCAAGAGCTAGCGAATCAATTTAAAAAAAAAAATTATGTGCAACTTGGATTTTCCTTAATCGTCTCCATATCAGTTAAGCTTAATTTTTAAATAAATAACAACATAATAATTGTTGAAAAAAGTAACTAAAGTTTGCATTTAAAATGGTCATTTTGATGTATGATTTTAAGTGTTGGAATTTTTAGCATAAAATGACATTTTGAGTGATTATTTTGTGGTATAAATATATGTGGGTCCACTTCTGATTTAGGTCGGGTCAAAGTGGATTCGGGTTCTTCGTAGTGAGACGAAAAATTTGATATAATGTACGCTCAAAATGAGTAATAGGTGAATAAGAAATTGATTCTCAAAGTGAACATATTTGAGAGAAGCCAAAATCTTAAGTTAATTGCTAATTAAACTAGCAATTCGTTATTAAGCTTTGATTCGTTGTACATGAAGTGTGCAAGAAAGTAAGTTTAATTAAGCTTGGTAATTAAGCATTGTTTACTTAACTAGTGAACTGGGTGTGGAACTTCTTTAGTGCTTAGCTTTCAGTGCTACACGAAAGTTGTGTAATTAGGCTTTGAAAGCTTGATTTTAAGCTTTGGTAATTAAGCTTTGGCTTAGGCTCCTTTCGTGTTGTGGATTCGGTGAGCACGAGTCAATGCTATATGCATTAATTCGTGCTGCACCATTTCGGTGTTTGCGGATCACTCGGGTGTGGTTTTCGGTCCCAATTCGTTAAACCTTCGGGTTTGTACGGACTTCTCGGTCACTAAGATAGTTTGAAACGGGTCGTTATGGTCGATACGAATTAATCGGATATTAAGTTCGTGACCGTTGATATTATTTCGATAATAAGGTACGACCGTTTCAAACGTTATTATCCAATTATTAAATTGGATTAATGTTGGTTAAAATGTGCCATGAATATGCTATTAAATTCTTTTTCCCTACAAATAGCTTAGGATGTTGTCAAATAGTTTGACACCTTTTTCTAGTTGAAACTCTCAAAAATCTTTCTTTTGTTTTCTCTCATCTCTCATCCCGTTTACAAGAGAAAAGTTGTTCTGCCAACATCTTCCGTAAAATATTGGAGTGCTCAACTTGTGTTCTAGTTCGCCGGACTTTGGGTTGGAGTGCTCGAACGCCAAAGTCGTAGTCTGTTTTATCCTGGGAGACTGACGCTACAACGTTTCTAGCACCCTCGAAATGTGGCAAATCGGTTTTAATGAGAGTGTGTGTACACACGACTCGGGCTTCCTCTGCTTCTTCTTTCTTCTTGTTGGGTTAAGACCTTAGGTTAGAAACTCGTCTCTTGTTTTATGTTTGTTCTTGGTTTCGTACCAAGTGGTGGGATTAATCTCATAAGGATTAAATTTCTCGTACTAGTTTCGTACTAGTTGTGATGTGATTAATCTCGGATTAAATCCCTTGTACTAATTTCGTACTAGTTGTGATGTGATTAATCTCGGATTAAATCCCTTGTATTAGTTTCGTACTAGTTGTGGTGAGATTATTTTTGATAAAATAAATCCCTATTTGGTTAATATATATACGTTGTATATATATGTAATTTTGGTTTCGTACCAAAATTGGTTGGAATTAATTTTCTATAAATTAGATTTCATTTTTCGGGACAAATATATATTATATATATATTTTTGTGTATCTATTTATTCACATATATCCAACATTATTAAGTAGGTTCACTTTTCGATTTGGATCGTGTCAAAGAGGGTTCATATTCTCCTAGTTGAGAAGATGATTTTGATATATTATATGTTCAAAATGGATAGGAAAATTCTATTCACACAACCTCTTTTGCTATTTGCACCACCTATTTAATAAGTATAGTAACTTTATAGGTGGTACAAATACAAAAGTGCTATTTGCACCACCATCATTAATTGTGGTCAAAGAGTAATATTGATTATCTATTTTTTTTATCACTCAAAATATTAATTAAAAAAAAAAAAAAGTATCCCGGCTGGCCTTCTCACCGGAGAAGGTGACGTTTTTTTTTTTTCTTTTTTAAATGTGTTAATTAATTAAATTTTAAATTAACAAATTATTAATTGTAAGTTTGACCAGGTGGTGCAAATAGCAAAATGTACCCCCATTTGGCTATTTGCACCACCTATTAATTATTAAAAGTTTATCACCTTTTTACAATTCTAAGATGCTTTATACCCACTTTTGGTCAAATGGTGGTGCAAATAGCAACACCCAATGGATAATGGATAAATGAAAAATTGATTCTCAAAGTGTACATACTTATTTGAGTTGAAAAGACTTTTAAGTAGCCTTTGTCTTATATTAAAAATAGATGCGAGTGTGCACTAGTATAAATCAGTGTTGCAAAAATCGCAGGCGGTTACTGAGGCGCCCACATAAGCGCTCTAGGCGCCCGCCTAGGCGCTCTAGACGCCCTAGGCGGTCCCCAGGCGCCTAGAGGGCGCCTAGCAATTTTTGCAACCTTGGTATAAATACAATTCAACTTTATAAATTGTTCAAATTATATAATAATAGCATAGAGACTTTCTCTCATACACATGGCTGCAAATCAAGAAGCTCATAAATGTATAAAAGTATAAACCTTTTTGAAATTTAAAAAAAAAAAAAAAAAAAAAAAAAAAAAAAAAAAACTCTCAAAACCCTAAAATTTATTTCTAATAATCTAGTAGTTTTCCTTATACAATTTTATTTTTAACTAAATGTATATTCGTATTATTTATACTTGTCATTTAAATAAGAAATTATCATTTATTTTTAAATATAAAGAATATAATACTAATTTATTATCTAAATTACAAGTATAAATAATACTTATCTCTCTCTCTCTCTCTCTCTCTCTATATATATATATATATATATATATATATATATATATATATTAGTTAATACCACAAATGCTCTTTTGACTATTGGCTAAGTACTTTTTTAAATTTTGAAATTTCAATTTAACTAAAGCACATACTTTAACTTTCATTTTTGACCAAAAGTGATATATATTCCATTAAGAATTTTGTCAAATAGGCGTTAATAGCAAGGATAATATTGTCAAATCATAGCATATGGCTCCAAAATTGACCAGATTGTTCATCTATTAATACATTCTCAACACAATAGTGTTAAAAATGTTCTCAATGCACATCTATAAACAGTTGATGGTGGAAAAACTAAAAATAAAAATCATTCAACTTCATGTATAATATCTTCAATTTCTTATAGTTCATATATAATTTTTAATTAACCAACAGTTATATTAAAAATACAAAATTTAATATAGTCTCATTTAAAAGATATCGTTTAGAGTTTTTAATACTCCGTAATATATTTCTTATATATTAATTTTATGTATAAAAAAAGGAGAAAAGTAAATTTGGATTGAAAAAGAATTTAGGGAGAAAAATATTAAATTTTAAATAAACTTAAAAATCTTTCAACCAATCAAGACTCGTTATTAAAATAAACTTAAGTGTCAGTATACTTTTAGTAATTTTTTAAATATTTTTTTTTAGTTATGATATTATTGTGGAACAATCATTTTTTGTTCTCTGTCAACAAAATTATTTAAATGACATTAAATATAATGATATTTTGATCTATTTATTTATAAGTGTTAAGTGTTTTTTCTTTTTTATATATGTCATTTTATTTTTAGTCTTTTTTTTAAAAAAAAAAAAAATATTTCCGTTGAATCTTAACATTATTATGATATATGACTAACTTTTATCACCAAATATGTTTAAATGACACTCAAAAGTCAAAATACTCCTTTGAGCACATAAGTGGTTGCACATTTGGGAACCGCAAGGTCCGCAACCCTCTTCTGGTTCTCTCGATCTCTCAATCTGAAGTGGAGCTTGCGTAATCGGCTCAGCTTTTTCCAAGGGATAATGTTGGACTCACAAGATGTATAGGTTCTTTTTTATGTTTCCCTGTTTCTTTGATTCTTTGCGCGATTTGAGAGAGATGAGAGATTTCAACGAATCAGGGTATGTCGAATCTCTACTAATTCTAATTTTTACAGTACTCAATTTACCTGAGCTTTTAGGTATGTTGAACCTGATTAGTTTTTGGCCTTGTAAGATAATTATATCATTGGGGGCACTAACATTTTGTAGTGAGTTGTACTGAGGAGAAGTGAGTCTGTATCTTATGGCAAAACGAGCTTTGCAGCTATTCGTGAGTAGTATGTGCTATTCTCCTTCTTTTTTTTCGGCGATTTGTATCTATCTATCTATTTGATACTGGAATGATTGATTTCGTATTTATGCCTCCCATGGATCTGATTAAACCCTAGCTCCTATGGATTCTTCTTGATTGTTGTTTCAATAGGATTGTCATTTTACACAACAAACAAGGAATTAAGGAGGTTATTTTTGCCTTTTGGTGATATTAAAGAAGGTAAATATTTGTTTTCTGCTCTTGATTTATTATACCATTCCATAAAGATTTGATTTTTGTTTGTTTTTACTTGAGTTGATGACTTATATAGATTAGTACTTTGAATTGATTTAGCAAGGCTTGTGATAGATCATAGAACCCAGAGGCCTAAAGGATTTGGATTCGTCACCTTTGAATCAGAAACTGATGCCCACAATGCTTTGAAGGCTTTGAATGGCAAGGTACATTTTTCCAGTTGCATTGCTGTTACTGATTTGACCTTTGGGTAAGGCAGCTAGGGCTTATTTTGAACTATAAAGAAATTATCTGATTCAACATTATACTAACCAATCTCACTAAGTATGCAATAAGAATTTTATGGCTTTGCATTTTGCAAGTGGTCTAGACATACATTTTTTTCATTGCTGATTATAAATCCATATTTGGCCTTCATCTACCTAATCCATACTGAGCACAATATTTATTGGGTTTTTTGAGGCATCTTGAGAGGATTATTTTTATGTGGTGTAATTGAGTACATATTACTATCCCCCTTTAAAAAAAAAAACTAAAAATATAAAAAGCTTATGTTTAGTGGTAGATGATGTTAAAGAAGTGGCATCCACTATTGATGGTGTCGACTTCTGCTTTGCTAAGCGATCTGCGAATCGTGCTGCCCACGCTGTTGCTCGGGAAGCCGTTTCAATGTTAGGTTGCGGGGAATGGTTTGATAACCCTCCCCCCTATCTTGTTGATTGTGTTCTTTCTGAGTTAATGCATTAAATTCTTATTTCCGAAAAAAAAAAAAAGCTTATGTTTTTGTACTCATCCATGCAATTTTATGTCAGCTTACATAACTAATTATTTCAAAATATCAGTGTTTCATCTTGTAATGTTACATTGTTTCTCTCTGGTATGTACTGCAATGCCTTATTTGTGAATTGTGATTTGAACATCTGCAGATTATTAATGGCAGACTAATTTTTGTTGAAGTTGCTAAGACCACTACACCAGGGGAAAGTTAACCTACTCAATAATCTCATCTCTAATCTCTTACTGAAATAGAGAGACTTGCAAGAAAGTTTCTTTCTGAAGTTAAGAGACGCACGAGACATATTTTCAAACCCATGGGAGAAATTGTGGTCCACGGTCCAAAACAATGTTGTTTTGATATTTTTTTTAAAAAAAAATTCCTTGCTATGCGCGTGTTAGAATATTGACCAGAGATAAGATAATGTATTTTATTTTGTGTCAGAATAATGTATAATATCTTTTTCTTTTTTTTTTGTGTTAGAATAATGTATAATATCTTTTTTTTTTTTTTTTTGTGTTAGAATAATGTATAATATATTTTGTGTTAGAATATATGTTTACACAACTCAATATTATTATCACTTATCATTATTTGTAAGTTAAAATGAATAAAATGTAATATAAAAAGTATGTATGGTTAGATAAACATGTTTTCTGTTTCTTAAATTGAAAAAAACTATTTAACGCACAGAAAAGAGCACTAAAAAGGGCTTGAGAGTTTCACATGTAACCGGTTGGCAGTCTTGATCAAGAATACATGAGTGAAATACATATTTATAAACGTACAAAATTCAACTAACCTATATAAAATTCAGAGCTTTTGGCAAAGGTGTATGAGTATAATACCTCTAGAGGAAAACGAATCGTTCAGACACTCACAACAAACATTATGCATACAGGAGAAACAAGCTAGAAAGTCCTCGAGAATTTTCGAATCTCATACATGATTGATGATATGGAAACCAGATCCTTATTAAGTGCAGTGCCGCCAGCAATCCGCTTTATAGAGTCCGAAAGCCTTGTATAGTACAGCAGCAGTTGCGTTAGGGCCGCTCTTAATATGTCCATACCGCAAAGGAAATTGCTGAAAGAAGTAATGACGTCGCTGTGCATCAGCTCTATCGCCCCCTTCCAACGACTTGCAAAGTCCTTCACGATAGGTTCCACCTCAGCAACTGTTATAGGCCGTTCAGATCCAGAACTTGGATCCTCGGCTGAGAAAGAATCGTGCATGAGCTCAGTTCAGTTCCGAAAACAAACGCAAAACGCAAAACACAACAGCATGTTTTAAAATACTTACATCCTCTCGTCTTTACAAACTTGATAAGATCACTGAAGTGCTCCAGCAGTAACTCTTCCTGTAAGGAAGATAAAAGGAGAAACAATACATTTTATAGGAAACAAGAGGCATAGGTCTAATCTGTAGATTCATCTTTCTGAGTGTATACTTGGAACCCCATTTTTCTTATGTAATAGCATCAATTCAGTAAATAACAGAATTTATCGCTATACCAGTGTCTTAAGAGAAAAGGAAGAAAAAGGCAATGCTCTTAATTCCAGATTAGTAAGATGCAATTATTCACTACATACTTACCACAAATATAGCAGTGTTGTTCTTCAGTAAATCCTCGAAATGGTGTTGAATTTTACTGCCCTCTGGACCAGCTTCCTGAAACAGAATGAGACATAGTAACTGTATCTCAAGTCTTAGGTGGAAAACTGAGGGCTTTCCTTATAATCGTTATATGTATGAAATGTGGAAGCAAATTTGGTACTCCCAAAAATTGGCATCACATTCCATTCTATAGACCTTCTCAATTTTCATTTCACATTAAAAAATAAAAAAACACCAAACCAACCACACAAATAGAGCAAGCTAGTATTGTACAGCATCAAAAAATCACTGCTGATGCAACATGCATATTAGCAAACTCATGAACATGGAACACTATTTTCATGAAATCCTCCATATAAAGAAATACAAAAATGAAACCTGACCAAAAAGGCCACAACCAGCAACACTGCAAGTGGAATTATTTGATGTTTCCCACCATCACAATATAATCTAGGCAATGGCAATTGGCAAATCTCATTTTCCCCATGAAAGGAAAAGAAGTAAAGAACATTGAAGAGACTGAACATAATCACCTAACTACCTAAGCGGTATCTGATTGTGTGGACAATGGAACAGAGGCCATAGTGAGTAATCATACTTGTCTGAAAGGGAGCCCTTTATGTTAGCAAGTGTTTGCTTTTTTGGGGGATAGGGAGGGAATGAAAAAGGAAAGTGCATTCCATATTTCCTATTTCAACTGCAACCAAAAGCAGCCAAACTTTTCTCCAAAAGATTTTCCTCCCAAGGTATTTCAAATTATTCTACATGCAACTCCCCAAATCCATATTCATGTCAAACAAGAAAATCAAATGCTTCATGCTTGTATTTTCTATCCTCCCATTTCATTCTTCCCATCATGACACCCAACCCTCACATCCACACACACACATATCACCATGTTGCAGAGCAATTTGGTAATTTAGTCTACTAGATAGGTCTGACATTGTATTTTTAGAAAGTTCGAGGACACTACTTTCTTATAAATTCTCTTGATCTTATTTTTCTTCTGCTTACGATTGTTTTTTTTTTTTGGGGTGGGGTTTTTGATGATCTACTAGATGAAAGTCTAGTAAGTTGGTCAGCGCCTCAGCCATACCCATAAAAATGATTTAGAAAAAAAGTCCAACTTGAAGCCTTACCTTCAAAACAGATATCGTCATGTCATAGTTGTTTATTAGAAATACTGTCTGCTGCTTTTGTTTAGGGAACATTTTTGCAAGCTTCACAAGCAAGTCATCAATAGCCATTCTCAGCCTCTCCATATTGAGTTCAAGCTACCAATATTAGCACATGACAAAGTTTAATTTTATGCCAATTAAACTGTAAACATTCACAAACATTCAAGATTCTAAAGTGATGTCACCAACCTGACCATCTCCATATTCAACATTTAGATGAATAAGTGAGGCAGTAAATTCTGCATAACGTCTCATGACATAATGTGGATGAACATCATCCTCCCAGAGAGTTCTGATATTGGCATTCCGCAGGCTATTGAGGTGCAAGTCAAACACCATCTTGAAACGTGGCCATAATGCAATGTTGACCTGATCACAATTATTAAAATCACTTAAACAGATTCAGAATTTAGAGGTTTAGATTGTACGGAAAAGGAGTGAGGGATGATCATTTGTACAATTGGTAAGTTGGTTTACATAATGTTCATGTAGCACTTATTACAAAGGTTCAACATCCATCAACTATGTTACATTAGAGTACTTATTACAAGGTTCAACAAATACAGGAAATTTTATTGCTCTATGGAAGAATAAATACACTGAGATTTTTGTCATTTTCTTTGCTTTATATATAGTATTTAACTGATTACATCACAACATTTCTATGTTTCATGAAAAAACAATTTGATATACACAGGCAATTAACCCACTACAAGATATAAATGCCAAAAACTGGCTACACTCTTGGCCAAACCAAAAAACAGTCTAAGATTTCATAAAAAGTCAAATAGTCTTAAGATTTGCCTAAGTTAGCTTACTAACAGTTTGGTATCATTTCTTTTTCACTTCAATATGATTTATATCAGCTTTCTACTCACTTTTAAGCAAAGACTAATATGCATCCTCCCAAATCATAAGAAGTTAAGAACCAAGAATTCGTTTACACCAAAGTAACAAGTCTATTATCTGGTAAATATAATAGCCCAAGCCCCAAGGTCCTTCAGGATCCTTATTAATGACAGGAAAAGGATACCTGGGTGACAAACTGATCAGGAAATACATACCTTATCTAAAAACGAATCCAAGCATGGAATTCGGCGGCGAGACATTACCAGCTGAAAGAGAAGTATAACACTTCATAGTAAGAAACTCTGAGATAACATAAAACCAAATGCCACTAATGACATCATTAATAGCGTAAAATTTCTACAGGTAGTGAGGGTCTTCACCTGGTGCTGATGAATGATTCGAATCATGAGCATCAGGCCAATTGCATCGAATGAATTTGGAAGGATTAAGTTAAAGTGCTCGTCAATTACAGCAAATGGACCTAGTAGCGAAATAAACTATCATGAATCCAGAGACTGATTACCAAACAAAAATGTAAATAAACAATTATAATATAAATAATTAAAAATTATAGTTCAAGATACAAATACGCAAATAATATATGTATTATATACACACACAAATTATATACGCAATAAAATGTATACTTTTATTAGCATACAAAAAACGGACATAAATCAATGATATAACTTGGATTGAGACTTATGTTTTTAGATATTGACAATTCCCCACAAGTCACTTGAAGTTTATCAGCTTTCACTGAATAAAATACATACGAGAGAACTGCTCTATCCAGATGATAGTCGGAAGAACTGTCAATTTAGTGTTACCAATATTTTTTACACTTAAGATGGAATCAGGAAAATCCTTTAAATAGTCATGACTTGTAAATATTTCTCCTGTAAAAAATATCCATGTTCCTGCAGGAAAGTTTTTTTTTTTAATGCTTAATAAATACCTGCAAATATATCATAAAAGATAGACTCCTCCCCAAAGAAATTATCACAGAAAAGGTACCTGAATGATGAGAGAGCAAAAGATTAGTACAATAATATTGAGAATAAAATCAGTCATATTTATGGTGATTGTTTGAACTCAACATGGAATAAGAAATAGAAATGTAGAATACTCGGAAGAAGCTGTATCCAGAAGCAGTTTGTGCAAGCTCCTGAAGAGAACTTCATAGGGATACTTTTTCGAGCTGGCTTCAGCAATATGTGGAATCAAAGGAGGTTCCTCAATTTCCTGAATATTGTGAACAGCAAAAGCATCAGTTAAAGATTCTGCTAAGCAATGATTATAAGAGATCAACAATTCCACTTCATCTAAAGATCATAAGAACATTTTGCTTATCCTTTTATCATTTTAAGAGCAGTAATGACTTAAAGAAAATAAATGAAAGCACAAACTCTGAAGAAGAGAAGAAATATAACTAAGATACAAGTTTTAACTTTATCTTCACCTACCAACTGCCAACAGTTTATAGAAGTGGAAAATGCAACCCAAAATGCAGTCCTGTCTTATATAGAGTTGGTTATGATGACCCTGATCAGAATCAGTTGCTCATTTAAACCCATTGTTCTGAAACATGTCACATTTTTAACCTAATTTTCATGGATTTAGGAGGAGGAGGAGGAGGGGGGGGGGGGGGGGGGGGGCGGTGCGCTCTCACAATCCATTTTTACCAAAAGATCAATTTGAATACTAACCACAAAATCCAAATCTCCATCCGTCTTGGCTCTGTTTGGCATACCTAGCTTATAAGCTAGCTGAAAGCTTAAAAGCTAGTAGCTACTAGCTTATTTTGAAACGCTACTTAGGGTAGTGTTTCAAAATAAGCTATTATTTTAAGCTCTCCATGTTTTACCAAACAGGGGTTATAGCTTATTTGTAGCTTAAAATAAGTTATAAGCTCTAGTAAACATAGCCCTTATATTGTTTTTTTTTTTTTTTTCAAATCCTTTTATTGTCCTCATCCCACAGTGCAAAAGCAACCTAATTTTCAATAGTAGATTACAATTTGAACACAAATCAAACTTCAGCTACCCAAACTCTTTGATATGTTCACACTAACAGCAATTTTGCACCTACAGCACTGTTAAAAGTTCCATCATCTAAATTTCCTATTAAGATCACTTCCTTAACAACCAACCTAGCAATAATAAAAAAAAAAAAGTCACGGGTTTGGAGGAAGAGGAGCACAAGTTCGACCCTTCACATTGCTAAAAGCATGCCCATGACAAGAAACTCAAGAAGTATTTATCCAATCAAGGGCTACATGCATCAAGAATTACCCCTTCAGCACTCAAATTACTAAGGAAGAACCTAACCATAATATTGTAAGCCATCATCCGTCTCAAATTTCCAATTTACAAGTGATAAAGAACCAGAACTTTCTAAAATGATGACTTCAAACAACTATCATTAGTATAAAGAAGAGATAGCAGTTCCTCCATTTGCACTATAAGTTCTCTGTGTTGAAAAATATTTCAATAATCCTCACTTGTTGTTTACAGAGTTTATGATCATGTATTCATTCTACAAAAATCCAACAAATGAAATACACCCTTAAGAACGATGAGGTTATCTATCAATATTTCTCAGAAAATGTCAGAAAGCTGCAAAAGTGCAAAACAACACAGTTATAAAGTCGCACCCAAAAAAAAAAAACCACAGTTATAAAGTTTATACTATTATAATAAGTCACAGAAGCAAAGCCAAAAAATATCATAGTTAATGTAAGACAAATAACAGACAGAAATATGCCTCCATTTAACAGTAAGAAACCAAGCATTCCTATTTTGTCAAGAACAGGAGAGTAGGACCTTGAGAATGTTGATCCTTTCACCCAAAGCAAAAACTGCAGACCGATTCTTTAATGGCTCTCTTCCTCTGGAGAAAAGACCACCGCTTCTTGTCTCAACACCAATTAGATCACTAGATGTTGCTATATCCAGCTGCAGTTTCTCTAATGCTTGAATATAAGCACGGAACTGTGCACTTAAAACCTGAATTTTAAAGACAGGTGCATCAGTAATCATGAATAAAGTAAAGGATGTGTATAACTTATAAGTGGCCTTTGATAGGTATCATATACTTTCAATAAGCATCCACCTAACTCAATTCAACTACATTTTATCCATTCTAGTTAGGACAACTACATGGAGAATAACAATAATGCTAATATTTCATCAATAACAACAATAATAATAATGACAATAAACATAATGGAATAAGAATCAATTTTCATGTTTAAAAATAATAATAATAAGTTGAAGGTTTCTTAAGCCTTTTAACACCTATAGATGTCAACAGATGTGACAAAACATATTCCATAAGCAATGACATGAAGAAGGGCAAAGGGTCCTAAATATAACATTTCCTAAACGATGCATCATAATAGTAGAGTGGGATAAACAAAGCAGTGAAGCACAGATCACAAATCATTTCATGAATGAGAAAAGCCAAGTTTCTATATTGGTGTGAGTCTTGAAACATGTTTTCATATATGGCTCAAAGGATTAACCTTATTCATTGTGTCAATATAAGCCGCTCGAACCTCAACATACACCTCCTTTCCATGCTCCTTGAGGAAGGATATAATAAACCTGTATGATTGATTCTGTGAGTACTTCAACTAACATGCCATTGAAACAAATCTAAAAATGAGAATGCCGGTGACTGTTCTAGATTTTACCATTTGAAACAGACAAAAGTAGGTACCACAGAGAGAAAATTTTTGGGGGTTAGAATGGTGTATATTCCCAGGCTCCCACCAGAAGGTTATGTTCAAGATTTTGGACACATGTAATGTACCATGGAAACAAAAACACTCTTGTTTTTAAAACACTGAATCAAAAACGTTCCATAAGCAACTACCACTCAAAAATCTTAACAGCTTGGCTTTACATTATTTTTGTGGCAATACCAGAATATAGCTGATGTATTAGGAAGCACTGCACTTCAAACAGAAGCACATATACTGTAAATACTGGGACTAACTGTAATTAAAATTGGAAAGGAAAAAAGATGAAAAGTTGATTCAGTAAAAGTCAATGAACTTAATCAGGTTCCAACCAGAAAACTTTGTTTACATGAAAGAAACTCACTTATATTTCAAAAGAACACTCTGTTGAAGGATCTGGACATTTGTTTTTGGTTTCCTCAATGAATATAGCTTCTGAACCATGAAGTCAAACACCTTGGAAAGACAAGAATAAAAAACGCATTATTTAGAAAGTATATCTGTAATAAAATTCCAATATACTGCCAATAATTTTTTTTTTCAAATGAATCAAAGAATGATAAGAAGTTCCTGAAAAATAATTTACAATTTTAACTTGCATGTATCTTTTCATTTCTCATGAACTAGCCATAATTCACAAAGAACATAATCTTTGTTGTATCGAACATAATTAAAATAATATCTAATAGTTTGAATTAATTTTAACTACATACATGATTCCAAAATATTGTTTTTTTCTACCTCTTATAACATTTTAATAAATCAGGGCTAAGGGAAGCATTAAAATTCCCAGTATTTTTTATTTTTTTTATTTTGACAAGATAATGAACAAAAGACAGACAAATCACCAAAGTGGCAAATACAAATTCTATTAATACACTTGAACAGTACATCTCTTTTTTATTTGGGTTTCAAACATGGTATAGTTCAGCACACAGATTATTTCTCAAGTCCATAATGTTTACATTTTAAGTTCTTAACTTAAACATACTAACAGCAGATGCAAACTTTGAAAGCCCAGACCTCAATATTTTGTGATCACAAAATTAAAGTTCCAAATAGAAAATGACAGAATATTACATTCTCATTTCCTGATTAAAAATACCTTTGATACTGCCTTCTGTCTTAGTTTCTCAAGTTCAGGTTGAACATCTTTTAGGGCTTTTGATGTTTTAACCATCGGATCTACTTCAACAAACTTCAGCTTTTTACTCAGAATCTCCAAAGTTCTCATATATTCCTCATTAACCTACAGATGAGAAATATGCAAATAGTAATAAAGCAATTGGAAAAACATCACTGTCACATTCAAAAAGTGAATAATCCAGCAGAGTGCAATAACATCCACTGTCACACATTAAATGCACTAGGAGGATGAGACAGAAGGAACAAAGAAATAATTGAGTATTAAATACATGAAAGCAAGGCATCATATATGCACAACTGAACAGAAAAGACAAGCCTGCGAGAGAGAGGAGGGATTGATAAGGTGGGTGCATTAAAGCCTTAAAGGAGTAGAATCATCTGTTATGAATTTTCTACCGCAGATGGCCAAGCCCCATAATTGGCTTATAATCAAGTAATCAACACATTCAAACTAAAAATGAAGATGGAAGCTATACAATGGCACTAAAAACTAGCTGTCGTAACTCTCATTTGCAATATAGCACTAGATTTTTTGTACTGTTTGATAGGTCAAGAATTTATTAAGCGCATCAAAGGGGAGTGCATACTCTTAACTATCTTATGACAAAGCATTTAGCTACAAAACAAATCACTGCAACTATTTGCCATCCTAGACACATTTAAACACTAAATTGCCAACAGAATCTCTCTCGGCCATAGAACCTTTGGCCAACTCATATATACTTGATATGATCCCCCATTTGTCACCTATGCTTTACAAAACAAAAAGAACACCAAATATACCAGACCCTGGTATATACACCCATAGGAATCCCATTTGTCGCCTATGGTTTCCATCCGACTTCTCTCATATAACCAGCTATAGCTACATCAATGCATTCAGAATAACAAAGAAGTAATAACAAAACCTAAAGTACCTCTCCATCAACAACAATGTCTATCATCCTTGGTGGAACAATAATATCTTCAACAAATTTCGACAGTTTTGACTCTGCAACCTGCAAGAGGAAAATAAGCCAACTTCTGCTAAGCATTCAGAACCAAATGAAAATAAGATAAAAGCAGAAATGAAGACTGTGAGGCTATTTTATGTCTAAACTCAATAAATAAATAAATAAATAAATAAAACGAGTGAAATGAAAAACACATGATTATCAAAAAATAAAATAAAATAAAAAATAAAAAGGGTTATTGGTAAAAAAAAATCAGCCCTTTGTGGGTTGTGACAATTATGGTCAAACCTTTTAAATTTGATAATTTATTACCAAAGCTTGGCACGCTGATGCAATTTTAGCCAATTTTTCAAATTGATCTAAATAAAATCTTATCCAACTCAAATTGGGTTACAATTTTTTTTAAAATAATAATAATAATAAATCAATCAAATCCATTAAAAGAACTCCATTTGTTTTATCACTGAACACTAATTTTTTTAAAAAAAATTAATTAGTTTCATGTACAATAATCATTTATTCTTGTTGCATAGGACATATTATAGTAATTTTAATGCAGTTTGTATGCAATATTTCAATGTTAACCATGATTTAAGAAGGAATATCAACCATTCTATCTTATGTATGGCAATTGGCAAGCATATAAATCAATTCAAGTCATATCGATATTTTTTGGTTTGGATTTAAGATATCGGCTAGAATTGCACTAATGTGTCAAGTTTTGGTATAAATTACCAATTTTAAAAGGTTAGTCCATATTTGTTAAAACCTGCAAAGGTTTGGATTTCACCATCACTAATAAGCCAAATACAAACACACAAAATTATGAAAGTCTTTTCCATATCAATAGATATCAATACATGAATAAAGTGCATAGGCCTAGAGAGTGGACAGTTTCTTTTTGCAATCCCTATTTGTACTTCATTTTATGTTCTTCACTGTCAGAATCTTTTATTGCAGTCTATCTGTACTTCCAATTTATAGTAGAAGGCAGAAGCAAAATGAATAAGAGGAAAAAGAAAACTTGGGTCACACCTTGAGGTTCTCTCCAGTTTCATTTCATAGATTTTGACTAATTGTAGTACCAGTATCAAGAAGCTGGTTTTTCAATCAAATACAAGAACCAAGAAGTGATGCTTAACACTGAAGAATGCATCGAAAATTTGAAAGTGACATATAAGATGGAATAAAGCAGAAAGAGAGAGGGAAAATGGGGCAGCTAAGAGAAAAGATTAAAAATGCAATTCAAGAGTTTCTGAATCCTCGCAATACAGTCGCATGGGTTATTTTTAACATTCAATTGTTTTGCCTTTCAGGTTTCATCTTGAGATGCAATATAAATTTAGCAGCTAACCATACATGTGGAAGACAAACCCCCTACCACATTTATAAAATAAAATTTAAATAAATAAGTAAATATATATATATATATATATATATATATATATATATATATATATATATGATATTCTACCAGTATAAAATTCCTATTGCTGGATTACAAGCAATTGCACCATACTTAAAGAGAATGAGGGCAAAATACTCATGGACTGTAGAATTATGGCTGGTCAAAACTTAAGCACTGACAATATTCAATTATGAAAGTATTACCTTGCGATTCTTCAGCTTCAGTCCCATATCCATAGACTTCTCTTGAAGGATTTTTATGTCTGAGCTTATAGAACCTATTTCTGTCTGGAAAATTGAAAGTAATGATGATAATTATAATGATTATTCAAAATGAATAGGTTTTTATTTATTTAGGAAGGATAGTGATTCCTTCTTCTTCTTCTTCTTTAGTGGGGGAGACATGGGGGCTTCAACAATTTGCCACTAAGACCATCTTCTGCTATTGTTAGATTTGCACAAAGTAGAGAAACATTCCTTTCCAAAAAATGACAATTTTCTACCATGACACTAAGGCTACTATAGGCTTCCATCTTCATTCATTTCACACATTATCAAGAAGACAATACATATGGGAAGCATTCACAAATGCTCTAGTTACTTCTGTTGCTTTCTTCCATTTAGTACTAATGAAAAAGATAAACTCAGCATGCAACATTTCTAAAACTCTGGAAGCACTACAAACAATTATCTGCAGTCACAACCTACTGTAGGAGAGATAAAGTACCTGAAATCCACTAAGTAGAGCTTCCATTTGTGAAAGAATCATATCACAGTCACGAATTTGATCATGAAGTGAGACAAGATTGTCACTTTCTTTTATGTAATCCTGTTATTGGACAAAGAAGCCCATAACATTTAACAGTTACAAAAGGCATCCATAAGCAACTCACTCATCACATCGAAGATATCAACAATCACCAAAATATAGCAAAGAGGTTAAATTGGGTGAAATAACAACCTAAATAAGTAGAACTATTTAAGATAGTAAAAAGAAGAGGTACACGTAAAGAAAACAACAATATACATTTAGCCTCTTTCTAGTGAGAATGTGCGATCCTCCCATGATTTTTACATGGTAAGAAGATACATAACATTAACATAAACACAATGCAATTTGAAAACCCCAACATATGCAAAAGAAAAAGGCCCAAAATTAATGCACGAGATTTGTAACAAACCTGGATGGAGTCCAGTTCAACCTGCCGTAAATTGTTTTCAACTCCCTTTGTGTATTCCCGCAACTTCATGCCTTTAGACAATATGTTTGCAACTACCTTTCACACAAACAATCAAATTTAAACAACAGCACATTATCCACTTATCCCAAAAGTGGGAAACTTGTAAATGGAAGGGAAAACTCAGGACGAATTTGAACCCAGTTGGTATAGTATACACTACTTACATCATCACTTTTACACTCCTCTAGTTCTTCCTCTAACCCCTCAAGTGATATATCCTCACTGCATAGCACAGTAAAAGCAATGATATTCCTCTAAATTACAGTCTAAACCAATCACAAATTGCTGCCATTCAGAATTCACAAATCAACATTTGGAGAAAATAAGAAAAGAAGATTAAAACCTTGCTTCATCCTCATCTACATTCAAATCCTCAACAAACGCCCCCAAGTCCAAGAATGGTCTCTGCCCATCATTTCCTTCACCCTAGAAGGATAAACATAGGCATCATATGATACAGTATGTACTATATATATCACACACACGCAGATCGCATTACAGATGCTTCCAAGCTCGGATGACTAAATAACATACCGAATGGGGTGTCGCCGCTTCACTCATTTTCAAAATTCCGGCAGCTTCTAGCAAATCTACAGAACTAAATGGATGAAGGTAAACGGCTGACCGGAACAATAGTACAGTACACCATTCGAGAAAATGAAAGACTCAAGTCAAGCTCAGATGTAGAGAATTACCATGAATTAGAGCCTATTTGACTATACGTGAACTGATCTCTCTACTGCAACAGATACAATGGAACATTTCAGATTTCATTTCATAAATGATAAAAGAACCAAAAAAATCACAAACAGACATCATATAATAGCTTAATAGATTTGAGAATTCATGCTTTCAAAGCTAACGGGATCGCAACTAGCAGATGAGAAATTTGGATTTAGAGAAGGAGATTACAGTTGGCAGATCGGCAAATTGCATCCAGATTTCAGAATTTACAGAGTTTGGCTCAGGAATTGGGATAAAAGTAACTGGAAAATTTTTCGTTTTCCTTTCACTTCTATGGGAAAAATGGTCAAAAGAAGTCATACCACTGTTAATAAAATGAGAATGGGATTTGATCTTTTAAAAGTTTTAAGAATTAATTCCAGGGATGGAATCTTGACTATTGACATTATTCATTTTTATTATTAGTATTTTTTATGCGTGATGCATAAAAAATAGTTGTTCAATATTAGTATTTTATATTAAAATTTTAAATTTATTTAAATTTTAGATATTTAAATTATTGTAAATAATAATAATAATAATAATAATAATAATAATAATAATAATAATAATAATAATAATAATAATAATAATAATAATAATAATAATAATGTAATACATTTTTATAAATTTGATATTTATATTTTAAGAAATAACTAACATACAACTCTAATATATAATGTGTATATATTATTATTATTGAAGAAAATAAGAAAATATATGTTGGATGTATATGCATAGTAACAATAGTAAAAAAGATAACGGAAATTATGACAGTAGGGATATATTTGTCCAAAATATTGTATAATACAACTTTAATAGAATAATGTATATATTAAAAAAAAAAAAACTTAACAAAAAGAACAAAAATGGTATAACCTTCCTTCACACTTTGTTTTTAGATTTATTTTTTTCGATTTTCAATTGGACTATATATAGTCTCTTAACTATTCATTTTTTACCAATTTTTGCCCTCGACTTTCAATTTGATCATAAATGATTCATTGACTATTGATTTTGTTTCAAATTTGGTCCTTCATTGTTGTTGTTTGCTTCGTTTTTTGGTTGTTTTTTTTTTTTTTTGGGTCATATTACATAAAAATTAAAATCATATTTATCAACTTCTATTTATTTTGTATTAGGAGAACTTTCAGTTTCTAATCTTTAAAGGATCTCTTCAGAAAGTTCATCAGATCATTCCTTACACTCACTACTACTTGATCAAAAACTTCCATTTATTTTGCATTAAGAGCAAATTCTTTATAGTATTGTCTTCAGGGTTTGATTTGGGATTGATGCAATACTGATCACATTCATTACACTCGTTATTGTTCTCACTGTGGATGGTTGGTACGGTAGAGATACAAAAAAGACTTTCAGCTTCGCTATGATCATCAATGATGAGAGCCTGGGAAACATCAAATACCCCCTCAAGATATAGCTTTTCTGACGCTTCATCTTCATTTTATGTTTTATCAGTCTCATTCTCGGATTTAAGGTCTATCTATGCTTTATTGTCTCCTAGATTCTCAACAATAACTATAGTGGAATTTATATTTGACTTGTCAGTTATTTTTTGTATACTTCTTATTTATAGAGTTATGAGATGTAACAACATGATTTATTGTAAGAGTTGAGGTCATGATCTTTTGCTGAGTAACTTGTTTTGGTGATGTATTTGGCACAGACTCCTATTTCCTAAGATTGACAATAATGTCATTTTCTCTAAACCATGCAATTTAACAACCTCCCTAAATTTCACATTTTTCATTTCTTCTTTCCTCATTTTAGAAGTTATCTTTTGGATATCAATAATTTTCTCATTAACTTCTTTTTTTTCTTACCTTTTTTTTTTTAGATTTATTCACAAGAAAGTCCATTAATTGATAAAACCCGACAACAAAAGAATGGAGGGTTTTGGCTTATATATGTATGTTCATATCATCTTTTTCCTTTTTTTTTTTTTTTTTTTTTGTATTTTTTTTTTGTCTTCAGCTATTGCATATTTTCCCTTCCCCTTTTTCCTTGCTTTGAATTTTTTTTGACATCTGTCATTGATATTAGTATCAACTAATAGTGTAGTGATGCATTTGAGCTCTTACACTGGCATAATAATGTTTGTGTATTTTGCATAGCATCATATTAATTCTGTATATGCAACTTAGCTCGGTTGAAAGAAAATAAGAAAGGCTTCACTCCCATATATAGAACAATAATTGATCAATTGCTGCACTCGATCTTTAGGTCGCATCTTAGTCCACGTTGTTGAATTTTTCCACGAGATGTACTTATTGTTGAGATGGAACACATGCTTCAATTATTATTACTCAGTCCGCAACCTTAATCAACTCCAGCAGATAAGTTTTTTTTTTTCTTTTAATATGCGATTAAAACCTCACATTTTAATATTTCATAATAATCCTCTCACAAAAGACAAAATTCTCGTCCCATTAAGTCTTTACACTCCAGCCTGGCATAATGATGAATGAATAAATCATATTGACTATCTAACAACTTTTTAGGTGGAAGGAGTACTAGTGACTATCCAATAATCTTTTACACCATAAATCAACAATGCATTTACTTTAATAATAAACTTTAAATGGTTATTGTTTAAGAAATAATTATTTTTCCTCTAGAGGTATCTACAACAACGAATAAGATGAATCATCGATCTCCAGTCTTCCAGCTAGCTAAGTTAAAGTTTTAATTCCTCCCTTATAGGTGGCACCACATTAACTCTAGGGTGTTGCAACCTCTTAATTTGATTGTGATTCTGAATAATGTCTTATAGGCTAAGTTTACGAGATACTTCCTTCAAACAAATTAACATGTCGGCATGTCGCTAACAAGCCAACTCGATCTGGCCATTTATGATTAAGACTACATCACAGGCCAGGGTCTTCAATAAATATATATATATATATATATATATATATAATTAAACCTTGTAATTATGTTTATATTAGATCAATTTATTTAGTGTTTAATACTTAACTAACAAAATATTTACCAGTGTAAAAGTACTTTTAATATAAAAAAAAAAGTATTCTAACACATAAAGTATATTATTATAACTCATAAAATACATTATTATCTTACACATAATGTTTATTATTCCAACACACATGCACGAATCCTTATGTTGTGGAATCGTGTCCACCTCGCAAGGTAGACACGGTTTTATGTTCATAATTACTGAACTATATGTTTATTACTATAAAGCTATATATTCATAATTTTTGAACTTCATATTCATAATTATTGAACTCTATATTCACAATAATAGAACTCTATGTTCATAATTACTGAACTATATGTTCATAATTATAAAACTATATATTCATAATTTTTAAACTTCATATCCACAATTATTGAATCTCTATATTCATAATTACAGAATTATATGTTCATAATTAGTTCACAACTCTATGTTCATAATTATAGAATTATATGTTCATAATTTTTGAATTATATATTTATAATTATGAACTGTTTTAGAATAGTGTTCACCTTGCAAGGTGGACATGGTTCCACAGCGTAATTTGCCCATACACACAAAACAATTTTTTTTTTAAACATCTAAATAACATCGTTTTAGACCGTGGTCGCATAGCGGGTCCATACAATAATTTCCTATTTTTTCAGCATAGGACTGGTCACTAGGATCCAGGTGTTGCCATATATTAGTTGCTCAAGCATTTGAGTAGTCCTTTTATAACTGTGGCTATCCTTTTTATAAGTCCACCTTCGCATTGAAGTGCCATTTGGACCTTCTATAAGCCCACAACTATTCCCTCAATAATTATATAAACAAAATATAAATTGTTTCTGTTCACTTATTTGTTTAACTAGTATTTTCTGAGTTATGCGCAAAAATAAATACGGAGTACCTGATATTAATACTTATTGTTAAAATTTTAGTTATATTGACATATTTTATTTAAAAATTAATAGTTGTAAAATTCATATTATATATATTAAAAGTATAGTTAATAATTTGAGAAATGATTATGTATGATTAATAATTGTTAAAAGAAAATTAAACTTAAGTGAATTCAGATTCGCCAGACTAATTCTAAGCCCACAGGATCCTCCCCTAAAGCCTCTGTAGTAACATTTAATATATATTAAAAGAAGTTCAATGGTGTAAGATAATTTTATTCGATAAAAATGATAATACAATAATATTTGTAGCGCAATTTACAACTCAATAAGCATAAAAATACAAACATAAAGATGTATTTTAAAGAGTAGTACTTAAAATTAGAAGATTAGTAGTATAATACAGATTTAAATGTAGCTCCTATAGTTAGAGCCTCTTCAACAATTCAAGATATTTCGTAGTCCAATTTAAAAAATTACGGTATTGACCTGGAGATGATATTAGACCATTGTCTCTTCGGTTGGAACGGTCCATTACTCCTATTAAACCATTGTCTCTTCGGTTGAAAATTCTATTGCCCCAACCATAATATTGCCAAACAGGTTCGTAGAAAGTAGTTGGAGACTTGGAGTAATAGATTGCTTCATCTATTCTTCCAAACACAACTTAAGTGAACATTCGTTAAAAGAATTAGGCATATAATAAAGAGCTTTTTTCATTTAATCCCAAAGCGTTACGAAAAATGAATAAAAGTAGTTGATGCTACTTTTGAAATATCATTTGATTGGAGCACAAGAGAAGCATATTCCTTCTCCCAAAAGGTTGAATTCCTACCTCCAAAGGCCTCCTATATCCTAACTTGACAGATCATTTGAGAAGATGTAAATTACGGTAATTCAATGATTCAACAGACAGGGCCAAATGCCAGTGCCTATAAAGGATTTGTCCACTTTGAACATAATCTTCACACTGCTGATGCTGAGGTTCGAATATTGATCTCTTCTCCCAAATACTGTCTACTGAACCAATGAGCTGAGCTAAGCCCGTGCGGCAAGAGAAGCATATTCCTTCTCCGAAAATGTTGAATCTGTACCTCCAAAGGCTTCCTACACCCCGACTCGACAGAGCATTTTAGAATATGTAAATCGCAGTGACTCAATCAGCGGACATGGCCAAATGCCGGTGCGTACAAAGGATCTGTCAACTTTGAACATAATCTTCACACTACTACTGTTGAGGTTCGAACATTGTCTCTTCTCCCAAATATTGCCTACTGAACCAGTGAACCAAGTCCGTGTAGGCAAGAGAAGCATATTCCTTCACTTAGGAGATGAAACTTTTGTCCGATTAATGTTTCAAATTTCAAAATATCATAGATTACTTACAAAGTTTCTAGTTTACAAGCTATATATTGGGCATCA